AGGAAGGAAGGAAGGAAGGAAGGAAGGAAGGAAGGAAGGAAGGGTTGGAGGGATAGAGAGAAGGAGAGAGAGAGAAGAGGAAGATGCATCTCTTCCCACTAGACTGGGCCAATCATTTGTCTTAGAATCTTCAAAACTCAGCACAGAAACAACACATCATGGGGAGGGGCTGATCAATGCTATGTGATCAACCAGTCTGTCAAGGGGCAGGGTCGTGGCAGAGCTGTCTTTCTGGGGGAAGGAGTCATCTCTACCTTCTGAGGACAGGAATCAGGTTCTGATCACGTCGATAGCTCGGGGCTGATGCGAATAAATAGACTTGCGGATAATCTGGTGCTCACTTTCCCTGGCAGAATTGCTTCCACAGGAGGCGGAATTCCTTCTGCAGGTCAGACCCAGGTCTCTGCCCCAGAGGGACCGGCAGTGGGAGGTTGTGTTCCATCAGAGGGAAACTTGAACTTTACCAGGTCATGCAGGGAAAGGCGGATGGCACGTCCCTCTTCTGAACACAGGTAAGAGATGGAAACATCTCTCAGAAGCCATCCCGTCTGTCCCCTTCATTCTGTAGGTGGGGATGCTGAGGTGTAGGAAGAGGAAATGGCTGGCTGGAGTCACACAGTTAGTGAGCCAGGTCCCAACTCGCAGCCCAGAGGCAGACACACAAGTTTGTACCAAGGAGCAAGAAACTCACATCTGATCTGGGAATCAGCTAGAAGGATGTTTGAAAGAACAATCAAGGCTCACCATCGGAGAAAAATGCCCCTTTATTGAGGAACAGCTCTGCATATTTATAGAGCTGGGGGAGGTGTGACAGTTATGACAGTTTAACGGTTGAATGGTCTGACAGTTGTCTGGGAGGCTTTCTGATTGGTGGGTAAGGATCATGTGACCCTGCTGTCCAATGGTGAGCCCTGCTGGCTCACGTGATCCTTACTCACCAATTAGAACGCACCCCAAGCCAGCTGCCAAAAAACCATTAAATTGTTAAACTGTTTCAACTGTCACACCCCCCTGGCTCTATAAATATGCAGAGCTGCCTCAATAACGGATGCATGCCCGACGGCAAGCCTTGATGGTTCTTTTTCAATGTTCATCTCCCAGGTTCCCATGTTACCCCGAGAAGCACTGAGTGGGACACGGTGAGATGAAACCGCTCTTCCAGGGACATTCCCTAAAGACACTGTCCTCGTCCTCTCACCTCACGGTCTTGGCTGAATGGACTGACCTGAAGAAGCAGACATATTTGTCCTGTGACCTCTGAT